AAGAGGAATCGATTGGACATTCGGTGAAGTGCACGATTGGGGCTCACTCCTCGCCAAGGCACCGCCTGCACAAAATTATACACACGACCTCCGTTACGCTGCGGTGCGCGCAATTTTGTGGGCGGATGCTCTGTCGTCGCTCGCTACTGTAAAGCTGATCGTTCTTATGCGGGTTAATACAATACACAAGTATGTCCGAACATATTCCGTTCGGACACTTTCATTCGGACAAAATATGTTCCCCTTAAGTCCAATACAAATGCCAAGTATGTCCGACTGGAATTGTCCGAACGGTGTCCGCAAAGTGATCATATTCACCCATATACCTCCCGCTTCAGTACCTATGAAAATGTCAGTGAAATCTGATCACAATCCAAGTGGTACCTTGAAAACTATTAGGCATGCGCATTGGTCTAAAGCCATCACAGGACTTCCATTTCATTGGATAAATTTTTTTAAACGCATGGTGATTGGATGGATATTTCTGTCCAATTAGAGACAACTAGGTACACGCCCAACCGGAACCATGAAAAGGTCCAAACCAGTACAGGTTCAAGCGGAGTACTGAAGCGGGGGTTATACCGTAGTTTTGAGCAGCATTGTACTAGGTACGACTAGTATTAGTAGATTTCTATTAGTTGGTGACAGTGAATTAATCGGATTGAAACTTTGAAAGGCGTAAAGATATTGCCACACCGTCATGTTTGGCATGCTTGTAGGCTCTGTATTCGATGGACTTGCGGTGTCAACATCTCTGCTCATGGAGCTGCATTCCTTGATACAGCAAAGGGTGCTAGAACCCCCCACATGGCCACTGGTGTTCGAAGCGTCTTTCTCGGAGGTACTCCACCTCCGGGTCGCTTCATCGAAGTCGACGTGTCGCTGTGTGGTAGGCGTACGAAGGCTTTTCAGTAGTGCCCTCCTCGGGTCGCTGGTATTATCACTACAACACGTCCAGCGGAGGATCGAAGCGGTGGAGAGTGGACCACCTGGAGGTGCGGTTGGCTCCATGACGAATTGAATCGTTCTCACGGCACTTCAGCCACAGCGAAACAATTTCTGCGGCTGCGTATTGCCGGACGAGTCCTCTTCTTGCCAGCTCTTCTTCACCCCCGATGGCCTGTATGTCAACTTCCCAGCGCTGGACAACGAGTGCTGCCGACTTTGTACTGCCGAAGGCGGGTGCTCACCGCTCAAACCTGACTGGCTGTCCAGGGCACATCCCACTCGCTCAGCTGGCGCTGATATTATCGACGGCCGCCAGTGCTACCAATATTGCACCCCAGGGTACATCGATACAACTTTCCTTCACTAAAATACCTACTGACGATCTTTGGATAGGGCCCAATTCCTGGACTGCATGAGCTATGACGCATTTGGATGGCCTTGTCGATACTCCGAGTCGTGGAGTCCCAGCCCAACTTTGCACATTGTGCACAACTTGACGTTTACGTCTTGGACAAACCACATCAACGACCCCCATATATTTGACCTGCCAATGCCGTGCCAAACTCCATGCCCTCGGCAGTTTCCAGCCTGCATGAACCCCAACTAGTCCAACTAAACGTTCATGGTAGCGATAGCCGTACAGACTAGTATGTACCGGTGTGGTGTGTGATAATCGTTCAGCGATAAAGATTGGGCAAAAGATGATGTCGAGTTGCTTGGACTTCGGAGGAATTAGCTCCAACGACGTCTGCCACTTCAAGGAAAAGGAAGCAATTTCTGCGCCAAAGCGTGCTCCTTGTTGATCCAACATACAGACCACTATACTAACATCAAAAAGCAAAACAAATGTGATTTAGAACAATAGCTATAGTGTATAGAAGCAATTCTAAACTGCACCATCACCAAGTCCTTCCAATCGTGGCAACACCTGTACATGGTCCTTCATCACAGGACCTTCAACACTGCCAGCGCAGACAGGTGAGCCCACCACCTGTCGCATGCGACTGAAAAGTACGACCACAGCCCCCACCAGTGTCAGCGACATCGTGCCGTACACAAACCCAATCATAAATTCCTTCGGCAAGACAAACGCTCCATGCTCTTCAGTCGCGCTAAGGTCAGCGCCACCGACCACAATCGACAGCACACCCGTGTCAGGGTCCACGGCAGCCGTCCTGTTCTCCTCTGCCGCTACTTGCGCCGGAGGGTGGTAGTGCTGCGGATACAACACGTACTCGGTCTGGTTGGCCCAGTCCGCAGGGTACCCGATGCTGCGACCCCCCGTGGCCGACTCGTTGAAGAATTCGTACCCGGCGTTGAACGACGAGACCAAGCG